CTAATATATATATATATATTATATATATATATATATATATATATATATATATATATATATATATATATTTTTAAAGAGATGTGAAAGAAGAAAAGAATAAACGAACATATACATTGAAAATACATGCAATTAACAAAACTTATTTTAAATTATAATTATCTTAAGTATGTCGACACGGTATAATAATGTGATTAATGTATTGTATTATTCATAGGAATTACGTCAGTCTTCTTGCTTTTTGTCTTGGCAGTTATTGCGCAAGAATGTAAAGATGAAGATGCACAATGTTCCATAGCAATGAAGTTTAATCAAGATACCGATTGGCAATCAGCTACTTCAGTTTATGCTTTTCATGCAAATGATATTTTTGGCAAGAATGTCCAATTGGAGAAATATCGTGGTCATGTTCTCATTATTGTCAACGTTGCCAGCAATTGTGGCTTAACAGATACCAATTATAAGCAGCTTCAGCAACTGTATAATAAGTTTAGTGAGGATAAAGGTTTACGAATTCTTGCGTTTCCTTCTAATCAATTTGCTGGTCAAGAGCCTGGCACTTCTGAAGAAATCATGAACTTTGTGAAGCAATACAATGTTACTTTTGATATGTTCGAGAAAATTGATGTAAATGGAGAAAATGCCCATCCATTATGGAAGTGGTTACAGACACAAAAAGCTGGACTTATTACTAACGCTATTAAATGGAATTTTACTAAATTTATTGTAGATAAGGAAGGTAAAGTAGTAGAAAGATTTGCTCCATCTACAGAACCGATAAATATGGAAGAAACTTTGAAAAAATACTTTTAAATATAATAACGTTTGTTTTTCTTTTTGTATCTGTCTTTTTTTATATGTATATTTCTAGTAACTTCTTTTATATTTACTATAGAGATATAATACAATTATATATGTATAATACGTAGAACTAATGTGAAAATAAAAAAATTTTTTTCTTTTATTATATTTCCTTACTATATTCTTTTAAATAATGGCATATGGAAAAATACTGTATTCAAAGACAATATAAATAATAAAAATAAAATTATAAATAATGATTTTGATATTTTATTATAGAAAATTTATATTTATTATTTATATTAAATTATTCTGCATAAATTTTATTTAACATATTTTGCTGGAATTTAATATATAGAGATTTTTAAATTCGTTGATTATAAATTTGAAATTTTTCGATCCGATTTCGAAGGCGACGCCTACTAAATCCCCAGTATCGCTTGAGGCTTGACGGCCGCCAATCGCTCTCAGAAGCATTTTATATAAAAAATGTGTTTAAATTGTATTTTTCGCTAAATCATTAAAACAGTTTTTTTATCACACAATTTTTATTCCCACAAAACATTAAATTCTCTTTTTAATGTATTCTTGTAATGTAATTCTTTTTAATGTAATGTATTATATGTGTCATTATAATAATATTTATAATAATAGTTTTAACAATAGAGTATTCTAACATTCTAATAATTACAATAATTATTACGTTATAACTCTTAAAAGTCTATTATCATAAATATTATTATAACTCATATAGTATATTAAAAAGGAAAATTTAAGAAAAATTTAATCTGTAAAAATAAAAACCACTTAATAAAGAAACTGTTTTATGTAATAATAGTTTAAAAGGAACCAGTAGGCGTTACCTTCGAAAAGGGCAACTAATTCATGAACACTGATCTAAAGGAAAAGGCGTATTTAATACTATAAGATCTATAAATATAAGCTCGATGTAGCATGGGCGATATCTTCTGTGTTCTCATTTCTGGCCACATGTAAATACGCTTTGAATCAACTGGTGGGAGATGACATCCAGGGCAACTCCCAGAGCATCATTGTCGTTGTTGTAGGCGGCGTTGCATCGCGCATCTTAGTCAAATCGTGATCGTTGTGGTAGAATCGAGCGATGCTGAGAGAGTTGGTATATAGAGCGCAATCCAGACGCGCGCGATGCGACCAGTGTACGAAAATAGACCTCGACGAAAAGTAAGCAAAGACTGACGACTTATTCTGATTACGTGCTTTACGATGTTATTTTCTGTGATTTTACAATTCTTTTTATAAATTCATAGATAAAAGATACAAAAAAATACAAGTTAAGATTTTAATTTGTAATAAACAGGCAAAATAGTTATATAAATTGATATTTATATAAAATTATTTATGTAAATCTATATATAAAATTAAAAGTTATTACAAATTACAATTGAATGTTACACTCATGTTTTTCACTTATTTTAGTATCTTTTTCAGAACAATATTGAAGTATTTTATACATGTATTTGTAAATCATGCTCTATGTCAGAAGGAATTGAATTAAATTTTTAGGAAAACTACGCTAATAATTATTACATTTATCAATAAGATACATAAGAAGTTTAATATAAATATAAACCTCAATTTTCCTGATTCATATTATCATATAATCGGAACTCATATGATACTCATTATCATATATATTATATAGTGGTATCAAAATATAGCAAGATTATTATAAGTTTATTATATTTTTAACAGTTTATATTTTTGAAGAAAATAATAGTAAAGTATCAATTTTTCTGAAATCTTTATTTTTTTCCAATTATAGATAAGAATATTTTTACAACTAACAAATTGTATTATTTGTAACGAAATTCATTATTTCTTTTTTAAGAAAGAAAAGAAAAGACAAAATCTTAATATTTACTTTAAAGTAGTTTTTAACTCATTTACGTTACTTTTCTTTACATTAATAGATTCATTTTATTATTTTATTCATCAAATGAATCAACGTAATGCAGCCAAAAATGAATATTTCATACATAAATGTCAAAATATATCTAAATAAGAAAGTATAAAAGTATAAATATCATTTAAATTAATAATTTTTAAGTATAACTTTTATAAAGTTTTTTATAATGATTTTTATAAAGTCTATACAAATTTATAACTTTATAAAAATTTTTTGTCAAGGATTAAAACCGGCATCGATTGATGTTTTTAAAAACATAAAATTTTGTTTAAAAAATGGTGGATTAGTTTTCCTCCACCGCTTCTAAGCATTGATCTTAGCGGTGTGTTACTTCAAATGCAAGGTAACTCTAAAAACAAATTTTCAATTTTGATTTTTAGTTTTTAAAATTCTACTACTATCCTTTCTACTATCTACTGTCTTTTTCGAAATATATATTGCTGAATATTTTTCATATATGTATGTCAGTTACACTTCATTCAATTTTTAGAAACGAAATTAAATAACTACTCAGTATATAACATCGGATCTGCGAAGAAAAAAAGGAAAAAAGGATTTGATAATACTAGCGACATATAAAAAATATTGTCGTCTTCAAAGATGACGGAACGATTGATATTACTGACTTTTCTGTTCACCGTAGCATTAAGTGATGAGCTATTTCAAGTGATCTTTGAATGGAAATCAATTGATTTTCAATGGCTATCAGAGGATCATGAAGAAATACATTACAAATATGAGGGGTATAACAAAACGAACAATTTTATTGCCACTGTGAAATTTTGGAAGGACAAAATGTATCTTACAATACCACGATGGAAAGACGGCATGCCAGTGACGTTGGGTGTTACTTGGGCAAAACCAGTTAACGGCGTGACGGAACCTAAACTAGAAGCCTTTCCCGATTGGGATATGCAAACGCTTGGTGACTGCGCGGCATTTCAACTAGTCCATAGTATGGAGATTGATCCTAAGGGTCGCATGTGGATACTTGATAATGGCCGGTCTATGTCCCTTAGGGAACCTAAAGTTTATTGTCCACTGCGTCTTGTTATTCTTGACCTTGAAGACAACAATAAAATCCTTCGTATTTATGAATTTCCTGATCATATAGCTCATCGTACAAGCGCGTATCTTAATGACATTGTTCTTGATCACGAAGACGGCGGTATGGCATATATCACTGATAATAATGCTATCGATCCTGGCATTATTGTTTACTCTTTAAAGAATAATACCTCCTGGAAAATTCGGCACGAGTCTATGAAAGCACAATCAGAGGCTGTCAAATTTACGGTAGCAGGAACACATATAATCAAGGCAAAACACGTAAATAGTATAGCACTCTCACCAATAAGCAGTCGCGACAGGTACTTTCAAATTAATATTATCTTATATAATAATCAAAATACATTTGAATTCTTGTACAAAGTTATTAAGTCTTTATTAAACAATTTCCTTATTATAAAATTCTTTGTTACTTTATTAATATGATATATATGCAAAATAGAAAAAAATTGCACGGTTTGTTTTTCATTCATGATTTAATAGCAATAAGTATATATAAGTATACATATAAAAGTTATTAATAGTTCTTTTTATCGAAATTTTATGTTTCAGACAAGTTTATTATTCATCTTTGTCTTCTTTCCATTTGTATTCGATTCCAGTATTCGCTTTGAAGAACAATGTGACGAATATTGATCAATACGTGAGGGAACTTGGACGGAAGTCTTCTCAGACAGATGGTATGGCAATGTCATCTACTGGTGTATTTTATTTTGGTCTATTGGCTGATGATGCTATCGCTATGTGGGATACCAAAAATACATCATCCTTTACCATCGGTCAACAAATTATATCACGCGATTACGTGCAGTGGCCCAGTAGTTTTGCTTTTGACGAAGTCGGCAATTTGTGGTGCGTCTCCAATGCGTTACAAAATTTCTTAAATAATCGTATTGATATCAACGTGCCTAACTATCGTCTCATTCGAACACATGTAGGCGTTAAGAATTATCAATACTATGAGAATGGCACGGCACCTGAATTACCGGAAGTTACTGCTGGTGTCGATTCCATTAAACTTGTACTCGCCACACTATTGCCTACCATTCTGATACTTGTTGCGAAGTAATTTATTTATAATAAAGATTTTAAAAATAAACATTGAATATATAAAGAAATAATTTATGAATTTATAAACTCAGATAGTTACGTGAGAAAATGCATTGCGAATGGATTATGGATTGCTGTAACAGATAATATCAAAACTATAGCAAATATCGAGTAAGTTGTACATCATAGTATGCTAGAAAAAAAAATTTTTTTTATATATTATTAGAATCCTAAACTACAGTTTCATAAGTTAAATAAGTAATATTTCGGACAAACATTGTATTTGGTACAGGGCTTGTGCTAAGTCTTAGATCATTGTCTAAATTCAAAAAAGTATAACTAGGAAATAACAAAAGAATAAGATAATAATAGATATAAATATATTAGTTTTAATTTTAATTTTCTATTATATGACTAGATCCCATGGTTTTCTGCGCTTTAGCTGCCTTAACTTGTTTATCAAGGAATTGAATAACTTCTATATTGACATGTTTATGCAATCTTTTTTCATGCAATATAGCAGATTTCTTAATGATTTCGATGACATTTCTTAGGTCTAAGTCCTTATCGTAGATCATCATTCCTTTGGTACCATCTTGTATTGGTAATTGCGCGTATGATTTTATTTTATATATTAGGAAAGTTGTACTGGTCTCTCGTTTGACATGGACGATTTTTAATTCTTAAAATTTATACATTTAGATTTTGCATTGTGAAAAGGAGTCTGTTTGGAGGAACGGAGAAAAAATTAAAAACACTTATAATATAATTTGATCTTCAGCTCAATTAAGTATAGCTCAATTAAGTATAGAATTTAATAAGTTTAATTTGAAACACGAAAGTGTAAATCGGCTTCATATCAGCGTTTTGCGTATATACATATAGTTATTGGCATCACGCCGCCATTTCACGCGACTTTGCTGCGTGTGATCTTAGCGACGAAATACTATCTGTATCTGTTGATTCTAAAACTCGAATAATATCTATACATGATCGTCATATTTTATTTGCAATCATTGACATGTATTGATCTAATATGATAATTCGAGATACGAATAGTTTCATAAAACGAGTGACCTTACGTGAGCACTTATGTGACTTGCCGAGAACATCTGGCAGTAATCTGCCGAAATTACCTCCAAATGCGAGATTCTACAGTCGTTGGAGTCGAAATCTTCAAAAACTCATTCTTGCTTCCAATCGACATCCGTTGACGCGTTTAATCTTTCGTAGCCAAGCAGCTGTTGCTTTCGAAAAAAGAAAGCATTCAAGATCAACTTATCGATGGGTAATTCATCCATCCAGTATGTTAAGGTATTTAAAGAAAACAAATTTTATTAAATTTGTTAATTATTATTATTATTTAATTTCATTTTGAAAATACAAGTATAATAAAGGAAATGCTATCGTAGGTTTTACTGGGATATAATAATGACCATCGTTTATTTATATATTTTTGTGATGGCTCCACAAATTATGTGCTTTTATAGAATTGGAAAGAATAGCGGTCCTGAATACTGGAATATCGTGTATCCTATTTATATTATTTGTATCGTTGATATATTCTTAAATTTTATTACGGGATTTGTATCTCTAGATGGAAATGAAGTTTTTCTTGATTTTAATTTAATAATACGGTGATTATATACAAATTACATTTATTTATTCTTATTAACTTCTTTTTTATTCCTCTAAATATACAAAGTAAAAAATACATATATTTAAACAGACGTTATGTAAAGGGATACTTCTTCATTGATATAATTAGCTCGATACCATACGCATGGTTTTATCCAATACGTATTTTGCCACCTAATTTGGATTCGAATTCTGCATTGCTTATCCTCGAATTTTTGCATATTTTGAAGATAATGCGTATACCTACAGTACAGCAAAATATTCAACGAATTAATACTGTAATATATAATTATATCAGTATTGTATAAATATTGTATATTAATTCACAACTGAATTTAATAGAAAAATTAATTTGAATTATTTTTTAATAGAATTTTGAGATTCCTCAAATTCAACAAACAACAATTTGGCTCATTATTTTAACAATATTGATTTTTCATTGGAGTAGCTGTATAAGTTACGTCTTTCCATATATTGTCATGCATGTACAAGGAAAAAAGATAGAAGTACGTTTGATAATCTATTATTAAATTAATTTCTTAAAAACATATATTTTAAATTAATATATAAATATTTAATAATACTACTATCTTTAGTTACTATTCTCATATTTAAAAAAAAAAATAATTTCAGGATTCAAATATATATTATATTTCAACAAAACTTTATGATAAACCCGATTGGGAAGTGTATTTAGTATTTATTCATATCGGTGTGAGTAATTTGATTGGTTCAAATTTCATAGAATTCGAAAGCTTTAATATTTTGGACACAATAATAAGATACATACTTCTACTCCTAGGAAAAGGCTATATGATTTATTTGATTGGTATTAAACTGTTTGTCGCCATTTTTTTACGTGTTTTGAATTTCCATAGATTATTTTACTTTTATTTAAATAATATCTATAATAATTTCAATCAAAATCTTATTATATACAAATAGAAATAAAATAAAAATTTAGTAAAGACTAATAATAAAAGAGTTCATAGTTACAATCCTGCAATTTATGGAATCATCGGCAAAACCAAAACTCAAATATCAACGGATCATACATGAAATAAAAGAATACATTCGTCAAAAAAATCTTCCACCATATTTACAACATAAGCTAATTTCTTATTATGAATATCAATATCAAGGTAGTTTCTTCAAGGAGAATATTATATTTGATATTCTTTCGGGTTAGTTGATGGCAAAGAAAATTAAATAAGAAGATTAAAGTTAATTAAAAAAATTAGTAATAACAATTAAAGGTTCTATGTGAAAATAAATCAAGAATATAAACAATGGATTTTTTAAATTGAAGCTAAATGACAAATGTAATTTGATGCTAAATGTATTTTAATAAATATTAACGTTTAACAGAACTTTATTTCTGCAACACAAACGTCGACTTTCCTAATATGATTATCTTTCGTGCGAAAACAATTATTAAAAAAATAAATTAAATAAGACATTATTCCTGATGCATGTCAAATTCGATTAATAAAAATTCAAGATACTTTACAATTGTCTAAGATATAAAATTCAGATGAAAACAAAGTCACTTTATCTTAACTCATAAATTTTGATAAAATTGTTTTTAACAATTGAATTAGATGCGACTATACATATCTGATCAATATGTCTGATGGAATGAAGACAATCAAGTAAAGTATCGGAAGTAAAATATCTCAGGAGCTGTTATCATGAGATTTGATAAGAAATACATCCTTCTATTCTTGTCAATCTTATGATAACAGCTCCTGAGATATTTTATTTTATTATATTTCTGGTTTGTGTATGATCATATCTGATTTGTTTTTTAATAATTATTTTCGCATTGAAGATGATCATATTGAAAGTCATTAACATTGTGAGAGTGAAATTATGTAAACTTTTACATTTTAAATTTTTAATATTTATTAAAATATAATTAACACTGTCATTTAGTTTCTGTTCGAAAAGTTCATTGTTTGTACTCTCGATTTAAAATTAATTTATTATTGAAACGTAGAAAAATAAGCTGACAAAACATATATTTTTCTTCTAATACTTTTTTATGTTTTCTTAGATCATTTAAATCAAGAAATTTTATTCTATAGCACTCAAAGATTGCTAGACATACCAATTTTTTACAACTTACCTCGCAATGTTTTTGGAGAATTAATAAGTAATTAGTTTTTTCTTATATTAGTAATTATATATGTATGTATATATTGTCGTTATTGATATTATTACTATTATTGCTACTAATTATTTTTAATGATACTAATATGTATTCAATAGACTAAATATTAAACAGATGTTATCAAATATTACTTTTGATGAATTATCACAAATGTTGATTTATTAAAATGTTAAAAACGTTTTTAATAGTCAAGTATTTTTAGCAAAAATATCTAATCCCCTTCCAGTGTCAAACCAAAGATTTTTTTGTAGAGTATGTTGTATAATTATTCATTAAATGCTCAACATACATTTCAGCATATGTTATACATGAAGGATATCGAACAAATGATGATTTTGATGAATGTCTAATGTGAATTATTATTTTTACTTATTTTATTAGTGTGCTAAATGAATAAGATTTTGTTATAACAAGCTTTAATGTTCACATATGACTATTTTTACTTAATATTATATGTATTATCTCTTTCTGCCTCATTTGTTTCGAAAGGAGGCTTTAATTTTAACATTAAATCAATTTATGACATAGATTCATTGAAACCAATAATATATTTGAAAGAAGATGTAATTTACAAAGCCGGTACCGAAGATGATTGCATGTATATCATATCCAGTGGAACCGTTGTATTGATTACGTTCTCTGGGAAAGAAGTAACTAAAAATATAAAAGACATAAAAAGAAAAGATTAATTAGTTAAATAATAAAATATTCTTTAAAGATATGTCATCTTTATGATGGAGATTTTTTCGGTGAACGTAGTCTGATATATCCACATCAGCATAGAGAAGAATCAGTTATTGCTTTGGAAATATGTGAACTATTTCGTTTGTATCGTCGAGATTTCAAGCGTTTGCTAGCCACAAATTTGGAATTTTGTCATACCTTGGAATACATCACACAAGAACGTTCACAAAGAATAAAGAAATTGGAAGAGAAAAATCCGAGTGAAACAATCTAGCAGCATCATTATTTCTATACAGTTATAATGCTAATTGTGAGTTAAATTATCTCTATTTATCGGTTTTGGAAAATTGATTAAAATTGATTTAAAAAAATATTTGCAGAAATATAAGAAGTGATTCAATATCTGAAACAACAATAATAAACGTTTAAAAATTTTAACTAATTCTATAATAAAATTTTAACTAATTTAATTAATTTTAAATTCCAGTGCATTAATATTTTAATTGTATCGTTAATGTTTAAAAATGCAAAATGATCTCTTAAGTTTTTACAAGAGAGACAAACGTAATCTAATTAATTTATATAAACATATTTCTATGTATTTCATTATAGTCATTATTGCACAAAATTTTTTCTCTTGATTTTATAATTATGATCAATATATTATTATAATCTTAAGTCTAATATCTTAAAACAAAAACAAATTTATTTATATACTATGATTTCTGTACGCAATAATATAAAAAACATCAAATCAGATATTCTTAAATTTTTTATATTTGTATAGTTCTGTATTGTTATCAAATCTTTCAATATTTTAACTTGATAACATCGTTAATAAATTTTCATTCACATATGATTCTATAAAATTAGGTTTACTTACTCTAATATTTCTAATAAAAATATGAAATAATAAGGATATATTTAGTTATTTATATTGAAAACTAAAATATTATAATTTTCAACTTATCATCGCTTAGGTCTAGATCTAGATTCAAGATCAATAGTATAAGGCATATATCTATATATATATATATATATATATATATATATCTATGACAGAAGAAAGACAATAAACAAGACAATACAAATACAGTCGGCTCAGTCAATTACAACGAATAATA